GGACACAGGGGGGACACAGGGAGGACACAGGGAGGACACAGGGAGGACACAGGGGGGACACAGGGGGGACACAGGGGGACACGGCCACACACCTTCTTGGTGTCCCAGGGCTTCAGCGAGTGCTTGTTGTCGTCGAAGTTCTCTTCGATGGGAGGCACTTGGAAAAGAAACACTGGGGAGGGGACGGGGGGTCAGTGGGAGCAGGGGACGCAGGGGGGCGGCCATCACAGCCCCCCCAGCACGGAGACGGCACGGCCGGGTGGGTGCCAGGCTCACCTTTGCTATCCGAGTCCCCGTCCAGGAAACCTGTGGGGGAGCAGGAGGGTCAGGGCAGCACAGAGGGCAGGGGGCTGCCCTGGGACCCCCCCAGAAGGTTTGGGGGCGCGGGGGGAGCTCACCGGCGCGGCGGCCGGGGGGCGGCCCGGCCTGCGAGGGGCCCAGGTAGGCGTCCTGGGGCGCGGGGTTCATCACGCTCGTGTGCAGCGCCGAGTCGGAATTCGTCCTGGCAACGGGGAGAGCCGCCTGCAGCCGGGCTGGGCCCCGGCCCCCACCCCACTGACAGCCCCCAGCCCCACCCCAGCCATTCCTGTGCCCCCTCCCCACGGGGGTGTCTCTCCCTGTGCGCCCAGAGCGGCTCTGCTCCCACTCCTGCGGCGTGGGGGGACAAGGGGACCGCCCTGGGACCCCCCTGGGGACCCTTTAGGGGCTGGGGGCACCCGGGCTGCTCCCAATGAGCTGTTCCAAGGTGAGGATGGCAGGGAAGGGTTGGGAAAAGGCCGCTGGGACGAGTGACAAAGGGACATTGTTCAACTGTGGCACAGGGGACCCCTCCAGCGGGGGGCCCCGAGGGGAGTCGGGGCCACCTTGTCCCCAGGGGGGTCCTGGGGCCTCCCCAGGGGTCCCCAGGGCCACCTCCTCAGCAGGGGTCCCTAGGAAGGGCTGGACCCTGGCGGGGGAACAGGGAGAAAACGGAATAAATCCACCCATTACCTGTTGAGAGCTGAGGGAAGCCGGAATAAATGTCCTTTTTCCATGGGGAAATTGTTCCAGGGCATGGTCCTGAGGAGGGAGAAAGTGGGATCAGGGGAGGCAGGGAGCCCCGCAGTGATCCACGGGCCCGTTACCCCGTTCCCTGACACGGGAGGGCTGGGAACGGCAGGGGGATGGCATGGGGACAGGGACACGGCTGTCCCAGTCCCTACTGGGACAGCCAGTCAGGCTGTCCCAGCCCATACTGGGACAGAGACACTCCAGGCACGGAGCTGCAGCTCGAACCTGTCACCTGTCCCTGGGGATTGCCCTCAGCCAGACCCCTCTTCTAAATGAAATTCCTGGATGAAATTCCTGGATGAAATTCCTCCT